ATGATTCTCTCTAGGCAGCATCAATAGGTTACTCATCTTATTTTAGTCTTACTGTTACCATACAATGTAATGGTATCACTATCAACACTATCACTCTCTGGTGTTGGTCAAAAGAGAAATTGCTCTTGGTTTCAAAAGGAGGAACAAACACGGAATTCCATCTTCTACTGGTTGATGTCTAGATAGTAAATTGTATTTCTGATCAATTGTGAATATATAAAAGCAGGCAGAAAAGAACACTGGTAGAGAATCCAGAAATGTGTCCATGTGATAGAGTCATGTTACTGCTTCATGTTGGAGTTGAACAGTTGACACTTAGGAATAGCGCTTCCTCAAGATTCGGCTATAGCACTCCTAGGCATATATCCAAAAGATGCTGAAGTACACAACAAGGACATTTGCTCAACCATGTTTGTAGCAACTTTATTCATAACAACCAGAACCTGGAAAGAACCCAGATGTCCCTCAGTGGAGGAGTAGATACAGAAATTGTCGTACTTTTACAGAATGGAAGACTACTCAGCAATTAAAAACAAGAAATCATGAAGTTTGCAGGCAAATGGTGGGATCTAGAAAAGCTCATTCTTAGTGAGTTATTCCAGAGGCAGAAAGACACACATGGTATATACTCACTTATAAGTGGTTACTAGACCTATGATATAGGATAAACATACTAAAATCTATATACCTAAAGAAGATAAACAAGAAAGAGGACTCGGGGTAAGTTGATCAATCCTCACTTAGAAAGAGAAAGTGGATGAATGTGAAAACTGTGTTATTTAAAGTGTAGGGTATCAAAGCAGATGCTAAGACTCATGACCAAATACTGGGCAGATTGCAAGGAAACATATGAAAAACGAGAGTTAGTAAGACCTGGAGAGGACAGGAGCTCCACAAGGACCAAATATATCTGGGCACAGGCGCTTGTCTGAGACTGATCTCCAACAAAGGACCATGCATGGAGAAAACTTAGAACCCCCGCTCATACATAGTCCATGGCAGCTCAGTATCCATGTGGCTTCCCTAGTGAGGGGAAGAGGGACTGTTGATGGCATGAATTCTGTGACTAGCACTTTGACCTCCCCATAACCCCACCCCCGTGGGAGGAGCAGCCTAGCTAGAATACAGAGGAAAACATTGCAGCCAGTCCTGGGGAGACCTGAAAAGCTGAGGTCAGATAGAAGGGGAGGAGGACTTCCCCTATCAGTGGAATTAGAGAGGGGCATGGAGGAGATGAGTGAGGAAGGTGGGATTGGAAGAGAATGAGGAAGGGGGCTACAGCTGGGATACAAAGTAAATAAACTGTAATTAATATAAAAATAAAATAAAAATAAAGTGGAGATTATTCTTTGAGTTTCTTTTCTTTAGCAGTTAGCACTCAGGGGGAGGAGTCTATCCACAGAAACTACAAAAAATGTCACAGCTGGCAAGGCTCTGAAGGGAGACCAGCATCTATACAAGACATGTGTCCTACTAAAGACACTATCTCTTCACGTTCTTTCACATGAAGTTGTGAGGACCTTCACACAGAACCCCCTGATTCTCAGAGCAACCTAGTCGGTAAAACTCTTAGTTATCAAATTTAATATATCACAATTTTGCCTTTATGCCTCTGAATTCTGGGGAAGTCACAGTCATTGACATGGAAAAATATGATAGGACAGAAACATCAATAATACATAACCTCAGCTTCAATGCTGTGCAACCTTAAAAACTGGAGGATGGAGGAGAGAGTCAAATAACTGCAAGTGAGATGAAATGATGTCAGAACCACAGAAATCTAAACATGTTGATTCCCCTAAGATGACTTTAAAGATGCTCAAGGAGGAGGATGGGCAGGAGAAATATGGATGTGTTTCACACTTCTCTCCTACTAGTTTTGGACTGTTTAAATTAACAGTAGTTAAGACAGTCCAAGTGTACTGAACTTGCATTGTTTGTTATTAGACATAAAATTTGCTCACAAAATGGTTTTCTTTTATAAACTACCTCAGACATCTACCTTCTTGATGCAATGGACGGAAACGAAGTTGTCTAGCTTCATTCACTGTGATTTAACATAAGCTGTTGCTGTCTCATGTTCATGTCAAACTTCAGAATTTTACATGCCTATAACAATAGCCTGGGTGCATATTACATTGATTGGGAACAAGAGAATTTCACATTGAAGTTGGTGTTTCTTTTTGTTTGTTTGTTATAATTTATTTTTATACTAATTACAGGTTATTTATTTGTATCCCAGCTGTAGCCCCGTCCCTCATTCCCTCCCAAACCCACCCTCCATCTCTCATTTTCGCCCTGCCCCTTTCCAAGTCCACTAATAGGGGAGGACCTCCTCCCCTTCCATCTGACCCTAGCTTATCAAATCTCTTCAAGACTGTCTGCAATGTCCTCTTCTGTGGCCTGGCAAGGCTACTCCTCCCTCTGGAGGAGGTGGGTCAAAGAGCTCGCCATTGAGTTCATGTCAGAAATAGTCCCTGTTCCCCTTATTAGAGAACCCATTTGGACACTGAGCTACCATGTGCTATATCCGAGCAGGAGTTCTACATTATATCCATACATGGTCTTTGGTTGGAGAAACAGTCTCATGAGAGAACCATGTACCCTGATATTTTTGGTCCTTGTGGTGCTCCTGTCCTCTCCAGTCTTACTAATCCCCCTTCTTTCATACGATTCCCTACACTCTGCTGAAGGTTTGGTTATGAGTCTTAATATCTGCTTTGATACACTGTTAGGTAGAGTCTTTCAGAGGCCGTCTGATATACTGAAATCTATACACCTGAAGAAGATAAACAAGAAAGAGGACTCAGGGTAAGATGACCAATCCTCACTTAGAAAGTCAAATGGGATGCCGTTTCTTTAAAAGAGTAGATTTTATTGTATCAGAAGAACTCTATTGTTGCTATGCAAGCACTGAGAAGAAAACCTAAATAAAAAGTGTTAAAAGTGTGGATCAACAAGGACAATGTCAGGAGGATTTGCAGGGATGTGCATTCAGCATTCATTCTTTTATTTTAATTAAGTTTTTATTTTATTTTATTTTTTTAGTTTTCTATTGTTTTAATAAATATGCTGACAAAAAGCAATTTGTCAAGAAAGGCTTACTTAACCACACATTTTGCAGTCCATCAATAGGGGAGGCCAAAACAGAAACACAATCAGGGCACGCAAAGGCAGGAACTGAAGCACATCCTATCACTAAGTGGAACAGGGTCTAATCTTTTCCTTTACACTTCATTAATATAAAATTGAAAAGATAAATGAGTTTTTATAGATAAAACGTTTTATGAATAATTAACAAAATATAAAAAACAAGGATTAAATTTGTAGGGCAAAGGTTCATTTGTCTTCTTTTATTGTAATATCTTTTTAAAAAATAATTTTGGTTTCAAATGAAAGTTCACCTATAGTAATATGGAGAGTAACCAAAGCTTGTCTTCTTTTGTCCAAATCATGATTCTTTTGCAAACTGCGAGTTCAAGTTGTGAGTTAACAGTCTCATGTTATTTATATAATACCCCAATAAATAAATGCAAAAACTAACTGACTCACAAGCCCTGTCTTCCTTAGAGTCTCCCTTTGGATTTCAATGACTGTGTGACCCTTGGCTGTTTCTTTTCGCCCTCCTCACCTTTTGAACTAAAAACAGAAAATAATGTCGTATTCATTAAATTTTTATTTTTTTAAATTAATTATACTTTATTCAGTTTGAACCCCAGCTGTAGCCCTCTCCCTCCACCTCTCCACGTCCCAACCATCCTCCCTCATCTCCTCCCTTACCCCTGTCCAAGTCCACTGCTAAGGGAGGTCCTCGTCCCCTTTCATCTGACCCTAGCCAATCAAGTCTCATCAGGACTGGCTGCATTGTCCTCCTCTGTGCACTGAGATGGTCGCTCCCCCATGAGGTTGAGGCAGTCAAAGAGCTAGCCACTGAGTTCATGTCAAAGACAGTCTCTGTTCCCCTTGCTTAGATACTGAGCTGTCATGGGCTATATCTGAACAGGGGTTCTAGGTTATCTCCATGAATGGTCCTTGGTTGCAGTATCAGTCTCTCAAAAATTGCCTCTTCCCAAATATTGTGGTTCTGTGGTTATCATTGTGGAGCTACTGTCCTCTCCAGGTCTTCCTATCTTCCGCTTCTTTCCTAAGTTTTCCTGCACTCTGCCCAAAGTTTGTTCATGAGTCTTAGTATATGCATTGATAGAATGCTCGGTAGAGTTTTTCAGAGACCCTCTGTGATAGGCTCTTGTCCTATTTTCTGTTTTCTCGTTCTTTCTATGACTGTCCTGTTGGCCTTTCTGAGTGAGGAATGATCATCTTACCAGGGATAATGGGGTATAGAGGTAAACAGATAATTCTCTGTAGAAGAAAATAAATGGCAGAGAAACACTGAAAGAAATGCTCAATGTCTTTAGTCATCAGGGAGATACAAAACAATGACCCTGATTTTCATTTCCACCCATCAGAATAGCTATGAAAAAAAAAAAAAACTCAAGTGACAATACATACTGGAGAGGATGAGATGAAATGGGAACCTTCCTCCATTGCTGTTGGGAACATAAATTTGTACAAACACTGTGGAAATCAACCTCGCTCTTTCTAAGACAAGTAGGAATAGTCTTCCTCAAGATCCACCTATACCACTCCTAGGCATATATCCAAAAGATGCTCAAGTACACAAACACAACAAGTACATTTGTTCAACCATGTTCATAGCAGCTTTATTCATAATAACCAGAACCTGGAAACAACTCAGATGTCCCTCAACAGAGGAATCAGTACAGAAATTGTTGTACATTTACACAATAAAAGAGGACTCAGCAATTAAAAACAAGGAAATCATGAAAATTGCAGGCAAATGGTGGGAGTAGAAAAGATCATCCTGAGTGAGGTATCCCAGAAGCAGAAAGACACACATGGTATATACTCACTTATAAGTGAGTACTAGATATATAAAATAGGATAAACCTCCAAAAATCTGCACACCTAAAATTGCTGAGCTAGAAGCATTCATTCTTAAAGACAACTCTGCACCTCAAGACCTTGAGGTAACTGTCCACCTTGTGTGTATCCCTCCTCAGGCAGCGGCACAGGTTATAAATGGTGAAAAGGCGAGTGTCTTCATCAGATGATTTCAGGTCTTCCAGTCCAGTCCAGGCAGGGTAATCATTTCCATCAAATCCAGGCTCAGTCTCAGTCTAAACATCAAATAGACAGATAGCATTGGCATTATTACCAGCAGGATTTCCTGAACACTTTCTGTATCAGCGCAGGTTTGTAAGTTTATATAAGTACATGGATGTATATGTGTGTGTATTTATGACATGATTATTGATGTCAGAAGCCAACTTTGGGTAAAGTCCCTCCAATGACTTCTCCCTTGATTTTTTTTTTTTTTTTGTATAGATTCAGTTACTTCTACCTGGAACTCATGGTAGATCTCCTTGTTTGCTTTTCTACTGCTAGCGTTACAAAGAGATATAACCATATCATTTTTTTCACACAAATTTTGAAAATGGACATGTCTCTCCATACAAGAGAGGCACTTACACATGAGACATTTCCATAGGTTCAGTACAAATTCCTTCTCCTTTCTGCATCTCTGTTTTGTGTGTGTGTGTGTGTGTGTGTTTGTGTCTGTCTTTGTTTCTCTCTCTTTGTGTGTATGTGTGTGTGTGTGTGTGTGTGTGTACTTAGTTGAATTTTTATGTAGTTTTAAATAGACATGATGTGGATGTCAGTATTCAGTTTGGGTTAAAGATACACCAGTGATTCTATCATGACTTTTGAGAGAGATGCACTTACTTTTTTTCTGGAACTTATTTCAAATATCTTTACATCTGATTCCCTAGTCTGAAGGTTTCAAAACGAAAGCACCACATCATTCTTTTGGCACAAGTTCTGGAAATGGACTCAGGTCTGCAAACATGCCCAAAAGGCTCTTACACACATGAGACAGCTCCGAAATCATATTCCTTGTAAATGTTTTATAAATTTAGAAAAAAATAGCAAGAAACTCTGAAATTTATTGTAAAGACCTTAGCACAAAAATTTATAATTGTAGGCAGGCATAAATATTTTCTGATATGCCACTGAATTCAGATGGTGTATCCTCACAAGTAGACAGATGTTACATAAGCAAGGTGCTATTTGGGTGTATATACTAATTAATTAGGGACAATAAAAGGCCACAAGGAGTCTTTCACCTTGGGGAGGTTTACATATTTTCATCTATTCCCCTGATATGTCTTTCATACCACGTTAGATCTGGTAGAAAATCCTGATCCTTTTCTTCTTTTCAGATAAATCTGTTCTCTATCGTATAAATTTACTGAATCCTTTCACAAGAGAAGTATATTTCACCTAACATATTAAGGTACAGGCAATCTTAGCACTTGTTGCCTATAAATATTGGTTTATAAAACCATATTTACCATAAAATATTCTGAATTAGTCAAGAGTTTTCATCCCATCCAGGAAAGCTACAGTCCAAGTTACTACGAGGAAAAGTTATTCTCTATGGAGATCATTGTTCTGTGGGTTTCTCACTAAATAATCCTGGATTTCGGTGTCTCAGCATTCTTATTTTATTTCACATTGACCAATTGCATGCATAAGATCAACCAAGACATTTGTAGAGACAGCTTACCCTGTTGAGTATGGTCTCAATTCCCTCTGCAAGAATATGAATTTTGCCCTTCACATCGACGGCTCTTTTCATCATGTTCTCAGAAACTCCTGGAAGAGCAGTCACTGCAGGCAGCAGGTGTTTCACCGGTTCTTCCCAGGCATATGTAACATTCAGGATTGCTTTCAGAAGGTCTACAGTCTAGGAAAACATCATTGGACATTGTCTTAAACTAAGTGACTTAAAGCTGTATAGCCAGACACCTGTGTTTGTTTTTTCATGAAGGAGGCAAACTACAGTATCTTTTCATTATTCATAATAAATATTAATAATTTCATGATGTATAATTATTGCACAATTGTAACGATTCACCTCCTCCATTCCATTTTGAAAAGCAACGTGAATTATATCTTAATAATTCTTTAAAAAATGATTTTTTCTGTCTCCACATCCTACCATTTGTCCTAAATAAAACTTCTCTTTTTGATTACTATTCCTGCCTATGAGAAAACAAGGTTTAATGGGCTCATTAGGTGTCAAAACACTTGACTTTCATTACTTTGAATCGCACCCTTTGGCTTTAGAGATACTGTGTATTTATTAAAGTGTGCAGAAAAAAACTACTACCAAGCATAATTTTAATTCCAGTCATCAGTATAAATGAGAATGAAATTTTGACCTAAT